CATGAAATATTTAATGTGCACCTTATCCATTCCGTTCGTCTAGCCTCCCGGACGATTGGTTCCTTGCCAGCGATGACTTCGCCGCCAAACTCAGCCGGTAGTAGCGATTCCCGTGCAAGAACCATTATGAAGGATAACCTCCGTCAACGTCCGAGGTCTATGTTCTCTACAGCGATTTCGAAGCCAATGTCACGATGAAATTTCTGTACTTGGACTGGCTGAAACTCGAAGACCAAACCGTGAGTGCACTCATCTTGGATCTGGTTTTGTACTTCTATAACAGTGGACGTTGTGACAATGTTCCCACGTATGCTGGTGTAGGTAGTATGTATGTCCGTTACCCGAGAACTGAAGCTTATTAGTATCCGGTACATTAGCGATCACGTAATCAAAGCCGAATTTCTTATAAAGAGAGAACGTCTGAGCCATTTAGGTATACGTCGTACACGTGGCGACCTCTGCGGCACAGGACGATGAGTACGAACCATTCGTGGACGAAGTTGAAGCTGCAAGACTAACCACAAGGAAGAGCAATGTAGGAAATTATTTCTGGAGATTACATTGCAATTGTTGGACGTCCAGAAAAACAAAAACTCGTCTTTCGGGACGAACCTGTTGCAACAGCAATCAAACGTCCAAGGTGTCTACTGTTTTCATTTTGCGCAGCAAATAGCATAACTGTCGTCAACATATTTTTCAAGGAAAGTTTCGGATGAAAATGAACATGGAGAGAGTCCAAATGGGAACACTCGCAGTGAAATAGATCGCGTTCTGTGCAAGAATCTGAAGTACGTTCGCGACGTGTCGACTCATCCCGGATGCAATGTTGAGAGTGACCACCGAACAGGTCGAATGGTAAAACGGCTATATGCTGCTGGACGATCGTTTTTGGCTCTGAAATCAATAGAGATGTAGATCGGCATTCAACGTTGTGTCAGACAAGGCGATTCACAATCCTCAGTGATGTTCCTGACGCTCCATTCTTGTCCTCATGGCAATGACCAGGGTGACCAGGACCACGTACACGATGGGACGATGCCTTCAAGATGTTCGCGGAGCAGAGTGGAAGGACGCGGCAGCAACTTTTGCATTGTTCCAGATCGTGGCCCGAATCTTTGTTCACGCCAGACGAACAACGGAAATAAATATTAAGCTTACACCTTCTCTGATGATACATACACCCCGCCTCATTTGTCAATATTTTTAACCGTACTATACTTTGTAATGCTTGTATCACTATTTTTTGTCGTGTTTCGTGTATTGTTCTATTCCTCCTCATTAGACAAATGCATAATTCTCTGATGAAAACATCCAATATTTGAGTGGTAAAGGAGAACTCAGCAAGGTAACCCACATAATACAGCATGCACAGTGAAGCCCAAATCACCTTAAGACCTTAAGGTTATGCTTGCTACATTAACAGTTGTCTAATAATATTATAAGTTGGTCCATAAGTCTTGCAACAAACTGGCTGGATTCTGATTTTTAATATTATTAGCTTTTTGCTCCATTCATCTAGCATAATACACACCATCAACATCTACAACCTACTGCCAACGCACTAGAAGCGGTTCGATGCTTCTCTTCAAGAACCTTGTTAAATGCTAATCGAAGAAAGATTGGATCATGACATCATGATGATTGGAATGAGTTTTCTTGCCTAGAAAGTGGTCTCGAGAGAGAATCACGTGGCATGTGATAGCACGAGGTTAGGGCTACCGAGAGTCCTAAAACTTTGAATCTG